GCAGTCTAAATGGCACACAAGGCTTAGCAGTCTTCTAACTTCTGGTTTATTTTCATCAAGGTCATACACAACATTACGTGATCCCCTGTGGGTCCTTGGGGTCCTGGAGCCCTCTTCTCCCCATCCCCTCGTCCTTTAATCTTAAAGATTTAACTTGTATGAATATAAATTTCTGGGCAGGAGAGTAGGGTGGGGAGCAACAATGAGTACATGTTATTTTGCTGAAGCCTACTTATCTATTTATTACCTATTTTCATCTATATCTTATCTATATTTAATTCTCTCTTCCTGAAGTGGACCCGCACTCTCCTCCCCCTGGGTCTTCGATGATGAAAATCCTAGGTCATGCGTCATCTCCCTTTGAGACTAGCCCAGAGTGTTTCCAGTGACCCCTCCTTGTTTTGTCTTATCTGTAACCTCCCAAGACCCCTATCCTATTGCAACAGCTCACGTCAAATTTCATCACGTCCTAATTTATTGATAAAATTGAGGCCATAAGATACACCATGTCCCTCCTTGTTGTCCCTCTCCAAAAAATCTGTCTACCCACCCACTCAGCCTTCCTGGAGCCTGCCTCTCCTTGGCCTCCTGTGTCGAACTGTTCCCTCTCTGCTTGTTTATTCCCTTATGTGTGTAAAGATGCTCATGCTTCTCTCATAAAGGAAAATTCTCTCCCCTTCCTCTTCTCCCCTTCTGGTTACTGTCGTGTCTTTATCTTCTTTTCTCATGCAAGACACCGAAACCCATGTCTGCATCCCCCCTCCCTCCCCCATCCCTTCCTCACTGAGGGAGTTTCAGGCTACTGGTGTCCATGGTCCTGCTCTTCAGAAACTGCTCTGACGAGGTAGTCGACGTCCCCTCAAATGTTGCAGCCAGTGGATGCGTTTCAACCACGATCTTAGATTCACACTATCAACCAGTCAATTCTTTCCTCTTACAACCCCCTACCCCTGCCACGCGGGCCACATCCCTCCAGGTCCCTCCCCCGCTACTGCTCCGTGTCAGCCGCATTCTTCCTTCTGCCCATTAAACAGATGTTTTGGGAAACTCACCAGCTGTCATTGCTGCTTGTTTCTCTGTCTGATCCATGACCCCAGCAACCAGTGAAACCCCCGTTAGTTCACTACAGATGAGTTTGCCGCTTCTAGAATTTTGTATAAGTAGAATCATACACTTTTTTGTTTCTGGCCACTTTCACTGAGCAGAATGTTTGACTTACACTGGTTTTGAGTCTATCAACAGTTGATTTCTTTTTATTGTGAGAATGACGTATGAATATGTCACAGTTTCTTCATCTGGTCGTTTCTTGATGGATATTTACATTGCTAGTTATGCTGTTTTTCCCCCAAATCTTGTTCTGAGGGCCGCTTACTAATTGTCTCATTCATCTTTTGTCTTTTACTATGGTGCTTGGATAGGTAGTTTTTCTACGTGCTACAAGAAAACAAAAATATGATTAAAGGAAATTGGGAGTTTGAGATTTGCAGATACTAATATACATAAAATAGATAAACAACAAGTTCATACTGTAGAGCACAGGGAAACATATTCAATATCTTGTAGTAACTTACAGTGAAAAAGAATATGAAAACAAATATATGTGTGTTCCTAGATGACTGAAGCGTTGTGCTGTATACCAGAAATTGACACAGCATTGTAAACCTACTATACTTCCATAAAAATATATCAAAAACAAAACAAAACCAAAAATACATAAAGGACGTATATATTTAACTGGATTTACTTAGGACTTTAAACAATTTTTAGTTTTTAATGATTTCAGGAATAGTGCATTTCATTGTGCTTTGCTTTATTCTCGTGCACAGACAACTGGTTTTTGTTTTTATAAATTGAAGGTTCACGGCAACCCTTTGTCAGGCAAGTCACTCACCGATATATTTCCAACAGCGTGTGCTCCCTTTCTGTCTCTAGGTCACATTTTGGTGATTCGCACAGTATTTCAGACTGTGTCATTATTATTTGTTACCGTGATCTGTGATCAGTGACCTTTGGTATTACTACCATGACTCACTGAAGGCTCAGGTGATGGTTAGCATTTTTTAAGCAATAAAATATTTTTAAGTTAATGTCTGAATGTCATTTTTAGACATAATGCTATTGCACATTTGACAGACTACAGTGTAAACGTAACTTTTATATGTACTGGGAAAGCGAAAAATTCCTGTGACCTGCTTTATAGTGATAATTGCTTCGTTGAGGTGGTCTGGACCTGAACCCATGATATCTCCAAGCCAAGGTATGCCTGCATTTCCCTAAGGAAATTGCTTCTAATTAAGAATGTGTAATCCTTTCCTCTGGAGGTCATGCTTATCTACGGAACATTTTGTCACTGTGATGGCAGCAGTGATGAAGATTCCTATAGAAATGCACACTGACCTATAAGTAAACCAGATGCGTCCGACAAAGCACTTCCTTGATCCAAAGAAACGGTACCTAGCATTTACAGGGATTTCAGCTGCAAACGTTGATAAATGAAATACAGGTTTCTCTAAGTTGTCCATTTGAGATTTAAGCTCTTTGAGACTTTCATTAGTTTTTTTAAGTGATAATCATTTCTTCTCACTCTGTTTTCCTAAACAACGCTGTCTTCTTTCCAAGGTTTATTAACTACCTACGTGGGAACAATTCCTAAACTTCATCTCCAGTGGTGACTCCTCCACCCGTGCGGTCTTTGACATCTCCACTCAGATGCCATATGGGAACACATCTGCACCTAATACCACACATCTAATATCCTCATTCCCATTCTGCTTGTTCTCTTCTTGCCTTTGGATTTATGCATTTGCTCCGCTACCCACCCCAAGCCTTAGTGATCAGTCACTAAGTCTTTCAAAGAATGTTCTGACTGCATCAGTCATGGTCCCAGAAGGAACCCAAGATCATGTTCACACGCTGTAACGAACAAGGGTGTAAAAGCCACTGTGTGAAGGAGGTGTTTACAAAGTGTCGGAGTGGCTTGGGGAAACCAACAAGGGATGGAGCAGGGCACAGCAGAGAGTGCCTTCCTCCCTGGTCCTGAAGGGCCTGGGGAAGGGGCTGTGAGTGGGATCTGGAGAGAGTGGGAGTCCTGAGGAGACGGCCCGAGGGAAGCTGTGACCTCGTGGGGAGGGATGCGAGAAGCAAAATCTCAGACCTCACTTTCCTCCTACGTTTCCCTCTAACTCTGGTGCCTCCCATGGGCTGAACCTACTGGGAGCAAGTGGACAGAAGCCGATCAGTGCAGCCTTGTAGCTCAGCCTTCTCGGCCGTGAGCGAAGTGGAGAAGCACAGAGAGCGGATCTGGAGAGTGCTGACTCCTTCCTCAGGGACGCAGCATCCCGTCAGCACTGTTTATGTTAGGGTTTTTGCCAGCGTTGATACCATTAGTGCGTGTTCCTTTTCTCGCTCCTTAATAGTCTTTCTGTCCTATTCCCTTTGGACTTTCTCCCACTTTTCTTCTAAACTGGCTTTCTGCCTCTGGCTAGCCTGGACTTCCCAAGAGTTTAGCATCCTGCAAAGCTGTCCCCGGTACATGGTGGGCTCCCTGCTCTCTGGGGCACATGCCGCCACGTGGTGATTGAAGATGCACATTTCCCGCAGCAAAGATGGGTTTCCTGACCAACTTCCACCGGTAGAGTCATCTTCCCATAGAGTACCTTCCCATGAACGTCACGAGATTCAAGGGTGACCTGAAATGGGTGGGTGGGGGGGCAGTGGGGTCTTCATTCAGAAGCAGTGATTTCCTAATAATGTCTTGATGTGACCGAACGTCTTTCCCGCAAACTTCCAGAGCTTCAGAGACAAGAAAACATAACATAGCCTATTTTGAGAAATTCCACACACAAGGTCCCTTCTGCTTACCACAGTTCTTGATTTCTTCACTTTAAGGCATCCTATTTTGTTCTTCTGAAGAGGTGGAACTGGCGGACAAGACCTGCTTTCTCAATTCTTTGCCGTTTGCTATCTGTGAGTTTTAAAAGACTGGTGAATAATCAGGGCAAGTTCTATGTAAAAGGAAAGCATTTGCCACAGACAGCTGTTTTCCTTGGGAAATGTCACCTCCTCCATCCACAAGGTGCTTGTGAGGCCATCTGTCACAGGCGCACTGACCTTGGCCATAGAAATGAGCATCTCCCACAGGCCGGGACAATCAGAAAGTCATTACTCTAGCGACACGATTGGGGGAGGGTCAGCATATTGATCTCGAAAGACCAACAAAGATCCTTGCCTGGACTGATACACACACTTAAAAGAGAGAAGTTCCTTTTCATCCGAGGTTGTTAAGCTGGGTCGGTGTGACCCTGGGACAGCTGTTTGCAGTCAGGTTCTTATTTGCAAACAAGAGAAAGCCACCCGGGATGATTTAGGCAGAAAAGAAATTTACATAAAGGTTCCTGGGTATCAGAGGAGTCCCTGAGATGGCAGGAGAATCAGTTATTATGTTTAACAGCTGGGACTATGGCCCCCACTTAACTCCTGAAGACGCCCAGTGAGGACACCGCTGCCACCGTGGCTGAGCACGAAGGCCTGGGACCTGCAGAGCTGGCCCTGAGCACAGGACCCCTGACACCACCTCCGGGCTGCTGCCGCCACCCAGAACCTGAGCTCCTAGGGCCAAAGGCCCCTCCATGTTCCCTGCTCTTTCTTTGCTTTTTTTTTTTCCCCTGCATCTAGTTCCAAATTTAGGACAGCTGTGTTTGGTTGGTGTCTCCGGGATACACGCCTGAGCCTGCACTGCAAAGGACTTTGGGAAATGCAGCATCTGACATCTTTAGCATCTGCAGTGGGGAGATGCCCCGCCGAGACTCAGGAGGTGAAATGTTCCCCAAACCCAGAGGAGTTCAGACGCTGCAGAACCAGAGTGCCCGGTACCGTGGCAACAGCCGCCTTTCCTCGCTGGGACAAGCGGCCTGCAGGACGAAGCCTAGGTAGGGAAGGGAGAAAAGCCAAGATATGAGAGACAGACAAAACCCAGATGATGTTTTTGAAGCCTCTGAATCTAGATGTGCCTCAGTCTTCTTTTTTTTTTTTGTTTTAAACGCTGGCCTATTTCTGTTAGCTGATAAATTCCTCTTTTGGCCTATGTTACAAACTCCCTTTTGAGTTGAGCATCTGTCACTCGTAAACGAGAGCCTCCTGCCTTATATGGTCCTGCTTTCACTGCTAGTGTTGCAATCATATTCTCGCTGCTTTACCGGGACGTTTCCTCTGAGCTCCCTCTGCCAGTGCCTTCTGAATACACTGATGTGTTGGCGAGTGGACAGGCCTGGGTGAGGAGGGGGCCCGCCCTGCCTTCAGCCAGTCTCCTAGGTTGGCTGGGACATGCTCCCTCCAGTACCCTATGCTCTGTGTCCAGTTACAGGGGCAAGAGGTTCACACATCTCCGAAACGTGTGGATTTGTGCAGGGATCTGTTTGTAAGCACACAACTGCAAGTCGTATCCTTCCAGGAATGGGCGTAGCTGGGCCCCATGGAGCTGGTTTTCTGGCGTAGGGCGCACCCAGAGATTTATCCTGTGGAGGGATGCGTGCCTTGGAGGTGTGCACCCGTCCCCAGGGCCAGTCTCTCGTTGCTGGTCCCCTTTTCATCCTCGGGCCCCCTTACTTCACCGGGATGCCCTGGTGACCAGGGGCCTCACGCCAGCTTGGTGGAACAGCGATGGGGGATGAGGGAGACCCTTCCTGTTTGCCTGCCGGAGTCTTCGCTTCTCTGATGGCCCTGGGACTTTGGCCCAGGAGAAGCAAGTGAGAGGTAAAGGAATTTAGGGGCCAAAAGGAGGGAAGCCTCATGTCTCCTTGGCCTCCCCCTCCTCCTGATGGCTGAGACACTGTGGAGGGTGGGGCTCCCTCATCGGGTCTCCCTGGGAGGCTAGACAGCAGATTCTGCACGTCTCCAGCATATGTGGGGGTTGTGAACCAGCCCCTGAACCCAAACTGTCCTTTCCTGGGGAACCGTGGTAAATTTCGGGCTGCTGAGAGGTGGTGACCGGGCGGGCAGAAGAGGAAAGGATGGGGTAAACCTAAGAGGCACGGACCACGCCTCACCTGCTGGACCCCCAGGCACCCGAGCCCTAGTGCACCTGTGAGCCGATGGGGTGTTTGTCCTCAGGAAACAGCAGGACGGCTGCGATGCTGTGTCCTGAGGCTGAACCATAGCCAGACAGCTCTGAAGACATCCCTCATTTCATCCCCACCTCGGTGCACACATTTAGACTCTAAATCCTCTTTCTGCATTCGGATCTGCAGTGACTCTACTTTGTAAATAGCAGAGGTTGAAGAAGTGCGTGATGATGTGTTTTTTCATCTTTTCAAACATGGGGCATTTTACTTCTGTGGAAACGTCCAGACTCTGGGCTATATCACACTTGTTCCCCACATTTGCCTTTGAACTTGGTGGTTTTTGTTTTTTTTTTTTTACAGCTGATGTAACTGGTGAGCAGAGGTGGTGGTCAGCATGGGATATGGATCCTGGAGGAAGAGAAAGCTGGTTTTTAAAAGGACCTTTCAAGTCTTTAGGGCATTTCCTCTTCCCATAAAAGCACTGTATATTAACCTGATTAGAAATATGTAAATAAGCTGCCTCCTGCCTCTTATTTCCATCCCTGGCTCTGCAGAACTGGCCCTTCCCTGGAAATGGGAGGAACTGATGTAATTGTTCTGTGGAAGATGAGGACTCCCGGATCCCGGCCAAATAGCTTCCTGCCAGGCCCGCTCCTTCCCTCGGTTTAATTACGAGCGATTGATTGTTTGGGCTGTGATGTGAAGACATATTAGAGAATGGAAAAAAAAAAGAAGAAGAAGACCAGAGTTCAGAATATTATGCTGTCACTGATTCATGTTTTGGCAAGAACTCGTAACTAGATTTTATGCTTTAGCCTTGGGACGGGATCTCAGGGAGCAACCTTGCCATATAAGCTCATAAAGGCCGATTCTCCGGTTTATTTTGAAAAGGTCCAAGTAGAAGCATTTGAAAAATGCAGAAATCACATCGGCCATCGGGGGAAGTTCTGTGTTGGTGATGTGCGGTGCCCTCCTCCGAGGGACTGAGGTTATTTTCAACCGGGTGTTTCAGCATCTGACTGCTTGATTTTCGTATATTTGACGCATCGTACATTTTGCAGGAAGGCTCTGATGAGTTCTCACAGTGTGGGCTTGGGGAGGGGTGTGGAAGCTAAGCCCTGCGAGGAAGGAGCTGGGGGGCAAAGGCTTTTATTCCAGACCCAGGTCTGAATCAGGCAACCCTGGAACAGAAGCATCAAGTGACCTCGCGTGAGAGCAGGGATGCAGGCGAGAGAGTCTGAGGCCAGACCATCTTTTTTGATTAGTAAATTAAAAGACAAATACAGAAAAACATGAAAAGACGTTTCAAAGTGCCTTGTATACCTCGCTCCAGTGCCCGGAGAGAACATTTGTGTACCTTACAGTCTTTTCTGCGCATATCTTGAATAATTACAGTGATTCAGCTAAACTGTTTTGTAATAGACTTTTTCAACTAGAATGTATCATAAACGTTTCCCTGGCTATTAATTCAAAGAAAACAGCTTTTAATGATTGGAGATGATTACACTTATCAGCTATGCAAGCACTTGGAATATTAGGTTTTGTGTACATATATGTGGTGTTGGTTTAATTTTTTTAATTTTTTTGGTGGGAGGAGGTAATTAGGTTTACTTATTTATTCTTAAAGAAGGTACTGGGGATTGAACCCAGAACCTCGTGCATGCTAAACATGGGCTCTACCACTTGAGCTATACCCTCCCCACTGTGGTGGTTTTATTTTGTGTTTCTTTGAAAATCACTGAGGTTGAGCAATTTTTGTTTTTTGTATATTTATGGCCATTTATGTAATTCTTCTTTGGTGAACAATTGAGTCATGTCTTTGACAATATGTCTGTTGGGGGAGCTTGACTTCATCCTGGTTGATTGGAAAGATCTCCCTCTGTTACACATACGAGCATGTATTTTACAGTTTTTGCCATTTTATTTTGTTCAAGGATTTTATTCTTAAGGTAGGAAGATTTACAATGGTATGCAATCACATACCTCTTTTTTTTTTTTTCTTTACCTCTTCTTCTGCTTTTATGCCTCAAAAATCCTCTGGACCCCAAGAGTGTGTACTTTTCACCCACCTTCTTCCAGCTTTTCTTCAGACACTTTACATTCAAATCCCTCTCACATCTGGAAATCCTTCTGCTGTGTGATGTGCAGGGTGGTTTTTAATTGTTCTTGCATTTGTGAAGTGTTCTTTCCTGCTTTGAATTGATTTGTGTTCTTCTGATACCATGGCCACAGTGATTTAATTCTTATAACTTACGAATGTGCCTTCATCGCTGAGGGTCCTTCCTCCTTTTTAACTATCGGTTTTGAAACTTGCTTGGCTCTTCAGGCCAGTTTAGTTTCTCTTGATACATTTTATAATCATTCTGTCAAATTTCCTTTGGAAAATTTTCCTCTTCAGGAACATAATGTGTCTCTCCGCTCACTGAAATAGTCCTCCTAGTCTTCCCTGCTGTTCTGTAGATTTTCTCACCAGCATCTTAACACAGGTAGCCTGTGGGCACAAAACCAAAACACAAACAAAAAACTAATTTCGTGTTTTAAAAAATCAGCTTGGGGTGGAAATAAAACACAATAGCCGACAATTTGCTATTCCACAGGCCAGTTATGCCCTATTGAGATATTCTGAGCAGAATGACTTCTGATAGCTCAATATATCAACTCAGGAGTTTTAAAAGCTTTTTCTTTTCTACCAAATATGTCAAACAAGCTCAGATATTTAAGGCTGTCTATGATTTAATATGTATTTACTGGAAAATTTCAATAAGCTTTGACCTTACGATCTTGAATATCCAATCAAAGTGAAGGCAACCGTTCTGTTAATTGGTTATCCCTTCTTTACAAAGCCATCAATGATTAAGATAATTTTTTAAACTTAATTGACTGCTTTCAATTGAATCAAAGGGCCTAGCTAATAAGATGACCAAAGCAATTGTTTCTTGATGTTCAGCTAATAGGAATATTCTGAATTTATAATTAGTGCTCATTTGCATTGACTTCTAAGCAATTTGTAGTCAACCTGGTTTGTTTCGAAAGATGGAAGAAAATACTGTGTTGTGATGGTCTTAGCAAGGAACGTACAAGACTTATCCTAGAGGAATCACGCTGACATTTTCCTACCCAAATAGTCCCGGTTAAGTGAAATGAATGGTAAACCAGCACTTACATGAAGACCGTAGTAGAGGACTGAAAATTGGAGACCATTGAGAACATCTTCCCCAGCACTGCTGAGAACAGGGACAGGAACTGCCCCAGGTGACACTTGCTGACAGGGAATTAATGGTAGGAAATGACCTTAAAACTTCATGTTCCCAAGGACTATAAACAAACTTTCCCTGGCAGCTGAAGGCAGATCCTTCTGAAACAAAGGGAGGTGTGAATGAACTTTCATGGGAGTGGGAAGTGTGGAGTGAGGACCCGGTTCCAAGTATGACCACCCGGAATTTTAATCAGGAAACAAAGCGGTCACTGCCCTGCGTGTCCACTTCTGCATCTTAACCGAGAGCCCTTTCAAATCAAACCACAGAAACATCAGACCATTCAGTGTTTAGTTTTTCCCACTGAAATGAGTCTAGTAATATCAATGTGTCTTTCATCATCCATCTAAAAATCACTATTAAAAATGTCATTTTATCGCTTTTTGATTAATCTGTGTACCTGCAGGATATACCTTTAAAGTCGGTAGAAGCAGAGACATTTTATTTGTGTCTAGTCCAGGAATCGTTAAGTTATAGATCAAGAAATGAGGAATAACTGTAAAGGGTGAGGTTGTTCTAGAATAACTTACTTATCTTCACTTTTAGAGTTACCTCTTTTCTCAAATACAAAAATATAAATGCTCTGCAAATACCAGCCCCGCCCCCACCTTGCTGAGTCCAAGCAGAGATTGCTGAGCAGATCCTGATCAGAGTGTTGAGATGAGCACAGACTGAAAATGCTCGGTCTCCTTGAGCCGTCTTTCAACTAAAGCAATTGGACTCGAATGTTCATGGTGATTTATAATGCACCTTTAAGAATAATTTCACTCCCCAGTAGTAGAGACCAGGATGAATGGGCTTACACAGTGAGGACGTTTATTATCTCCTACAACAGGAAGTTCAGAGGAAGACGTTCCAGAGAAGGCGAGTTCACTGGCTTCCGCCTCCGGAATCTTCCTCTCCGCTCTGGTCTCGGTGGGCAGGGAGGGGTTGGCCATCTCCCATCACTGTCTCAAAGCGTCATTTCCAGACACAAAATTGTCCTGTGGAAGAATGTGACTGTTTTCTCTTATTTCTGCTTTTTGAGAGGGAGGAGATTTTTTTCCAGGAGTCCCCAGAAGACTTGCCCTCATGTCTCACGGCCAGATCCGGGCCATGTGAGCACTCCTAAACCAGTCACCAACAAGGGAAATAAGATGATCACTGTGGGTCCAGACTAACCAGGGTTTACACTCTGAGTCACATGGGCGATGAACCAGCAAATGAAATTGGGGTCATTGCAGCAAGAAGGAAGGAGGTGGCTTTTGACTGAAGAATCAGCATTGGAGAGCAGTTTTTCATGTATCACACAGTTGGAATAAGCAAAGAATAGTGGCATTTTAAATCAGTTCTCAATATTTTGATGTTGACTTAAGTAAAAAGGGCAAGCTACTGAACTACGTGTTTCTGATATGCCATTAAATTTTGTATTTATTTGTAAGATCACAGAGATCTTACATATTCTTGAAGTTTTAAGCTTTTCTATTCTTTTTTTTGAATTCAGTTTTTCATTTTATTACTTCTTCTTGTTCATGGTTTTTTTGGAGGGAGGGGAGGTAATTAGATTTATTTATTTGTGTATTTATTCATTTATTTAATGGAGGTACTGGGGATTGAACCCAGGACCTCGTGCATGCTAAGCATGCACTCTACCACTGAGATACACCCTGCCCCCTAAGCTTCTAATCTAGGTGTGTCTTTGAGAAGATTTAATTTTTTTGTTAAGTAAATTAAAGTAGAGTGTATACAGGTGCATTTTTAGTAATACAAAGAACACCCCAAACCTTGGAAGTGCTATTAGTCTACTGTGGTTGACCAGTTCTCCTGCCAAACACAAATTGGCCCAGTGGGAAGGGAACCCCTTACCAGCCATTGCTCCATCAGTTGCTAAACTCACTGTGCTCTTTTTCTTGCCGTGAAACAATTTTCGACTCGTGGTGCTGTGGAAACACTCATCTGGAAGAAACCTGCACTTGTCTGCTTGAGAGGTGCTGGCCTAGGGTTCAGACCAACTCCCATCAGCCTAATTGCTCCTGCCACATGGCCTCAGGAGTGAAGAATTCTCCCTTTGTTTGCAACCCGACGGAGGGGCAGGGCTCCCCAAGATGTATTGCCTGCAAAAGAGGAGAGAAATACAACTGGACGTGACGCCCTCCTCCTGGTTCAGTTGCGTTTTTGGCACTGCTCGGTTATACGTTTGGATGTTGCTGCACTTTACAAAACATATTTCTTTTCAAAGGAGAGCAGTCCGCGCTCACTCCTGATACTCGGCCTCTGAGAATCGACGTGATCTCAACCAGACACTCGTCAGAGTTTCCTGTTGTAAGACTTGGCCTTCGAAGCTAAAAGCCTGCCCTGCCCGGGCCCCGTGGGCCTCCCGATCTGCAGAGAGAAGTGTCACGGGAGGAACGAGCCTGCACAGGCTCAGCCTTGGAAGACGGGGCTGCACTCGTGGTTTGTCTGTTGAGTCGGATCGTCTCACCTTTTAGCCCTTTGGCATCTACTTGTTCCCTCCCATTGCAGCTTTCATATCTTTCATCCTTTAAAAAAATCCCTTTTCTTCTATCAAACTGTGATTTCAGAAGAAGGATCCAATAAACTCAACAATACACAAGAGTAAATGCTACAAGGCTAGAGTCATGTTTGCATTCATCCTTCTGAGGAATTTTCAAGCGAGACAAATCCCTAAGTCAAGGGATACATTTCTCATTGTGACATTTTAGACTTCCATGAAAGCCAGTAAGAAAGGTTTTATTTCTTCTTCCCATTTTCTTTTCTTTCTTTCTTCTTTTTTTGCTTTTTCAGAGGTTGGAATTTTTCCTGGAGACCTTGAAACCGTCCCATATACTGAGGTGTCTTCCTACCCCGAGATGGGGGGCTATGGCAAAATGAAAACAGACTGGGAAAGAAATGATTGTTACAGATGATGTAAAGGTTCAGAGTCAAATCCTCAGATGAATGGAACTACTCAGTGGCAACCCAGCTCCCCTCTCCCGCCTGTGTGGTTTGACCAATGAGGACTGGGAGAGCTTTTCACTGCCATGTTAGGACTCATGGGCGTATGACCCTGGGTGGTCTTCTGGCTTATTAGTGAACTCAACTATCAGGAATACATTTTAGATTAGGAATATCTTAGAAAATCCTAAACACCATATTTATATATATTTATGTCCTCCCTACAGACATAGCAGAGGGGAGACAGCTTATGTTAAAACATCTCAAGCAGGGAGTGATGAAAAGGGAACCCTCTTACGCTGTTGGTGGGAATGTAAATTGATGCAGCCATCATGGAAAACAGTATGGAGACTTCTTAAAAAATTAAAAATATAGTTACTATATGATCCAGCAATCCCACTCCTGGACATATATATGGAAGGAATTCTAATTTGAAAAGATACATGTACCCCAGTGTTCATAGCAGCTATTTCCAATAGCCAAGACATGGACACAACCTAAATGTCCATCAACAGATGACTGGATAAAGAAGTTGTGGTATATTTATACAATGGAATACTATTCAGCCATAAAAAAGAATAAAGTAATGTCATTTGCAGCAATATGGATGGATTTGGAAATTGTCATTCTAAGTGAAGTAAGCCATAAAGAGAAAGAAAAATACCATATGATATCACTTATATGTGGAATCTAAAAAAGAGACACAAATGAACTTATTTACAAAACAGAAGCAGACTCACAGACATAGAAAACAAACTTACGGTTACCAGAGGGGAAAGGCGGGTGGGAAGGGATAAATTAGGAGTTTGAGATTTGCAGATACTAACTTACTATATATTAAATAGATAAACAACAGTCATACTGTAGACCACAGGGACTATATTCAATATCTTGTTGCAACCTATAATGAAAAAGAGTATGAAAAGAAATGTATGTACATGTATGACTGAAACATTATGCTATACACAAGAAATCATACAACATTGTAACCTGACTACAATCAAAAAAAGAAAGAAAAAGGAAAAGAAATCTCAACCAATAAAGGCAATAAAAGAGCAAAACCATTAAAATAAGAGAAAACAAAAAGATTCAAGAACCAGGAAGTTAAAGGGTCAGAGTACTTTTATACCAGAAAATGACTCATATGAAACCATTCTTTGGAGCATGAAGCTTAGTGCTGACCTGAGAATCAAGAGTCAGTTGAGGGTGCACAGTCTTCATTATCTTCCTGATCATCCATCAGGAGAGAAAAAGAAAGTCCTAGCTCTCAACTCAGGAAGGAATCTGTCATGTAGGATTGTATATAGAGAACACTGAACAACACTGAAGAGAAGATGATTTATTCCTGGAGAGTCATTTTGGTCAAATGTGGATAGCTATTTGAAATTATTAGAGACTTGAGACGTTGGGGGACAGAGAGGTTGATGGTGAGCTGTCATTGGTTTTTCCTGATAAATATAACTCTTGACTGTTTAGGATTCCTGAGATTAAAGGAGGTAACTGAACCTATTTTAAGAGCCTCAGAAAAATATTTCCGGGAATGTCACCTAGGAGCCAGGTTCTGGAGAGATGACCTGAGCACTCTGGCATCCTCTCTTGGGGAAAGATTTTATACAACCCCACAGGGCTGTTAGACTATTCAGTTTGCAGTGACTTAGGGGTAAAAATGGAATCAAATACTTTCTTTAAACGTGTATAGTCCCTCTTGTATAAGCCTGAAAAGCTGCCCCCAAGTAACCATAGTGAACAGCGGTGCCTTGGGCAGGAAAGAGCAGACGGCTTGAATTTCTGAATCTTTTTGTTTGTTTCTGGGCATTTTTTAAAACTGAAGTATAGTCAGTTACAATGTGTCAATTTCTGGTGCACAGCATCATGTCCCAATCATGCATATATACATATACAGATATTCATTTTCATATTCTTTTTCATTAAAGGTTATTGCAAATATTGAATATATTTCCCTGTGCTCTTGAAGGAGAGATAACATCTAGCAAATTGGGTAGAATCAGATAAGAGCTGCTTTTGCCATGTAATCTTTACTCAGGGCAAAGCAAATTGTAGCCCCAAATCCATCCAAGAGAAAAACAGGAGGCACCCAGCTCAGCTGTCTGGGAACCGGGCAGACCTTGAGATGGGAGGACCGAGCAGCACAAAGCCCTTTCACCAGCTGCCTGTGGGATTCAGATGGTTGGCTACAGACGGAGATAAGGTGGATTTATAGAGGGGGGGAGGCTCTCCCCAGAGGGTCTGGCCCACAATCCCCTCTCCTAGTCAACCAGGAAAGTCATTCATCTGTTAACAACACCCAGGAGAAAATGGCCCTGGGTAATGACGGTATCTGGGCAAAGACATTGCGAGCTGGTAAGAGGAATGGCTTGTTTCCGTGCAGGTGGGCGAATTGCCGAGGCCTCTCGTTCTCGTGTGCCTCCTCTCTCACAGGCCACTGCCTGGATTTTCTCATTTACAGCACCTCATGCTGCTACTTCTGCCGGGATCCCTTAGTACTGCCTTGATGGTTCTCTCGGCCAGTTAGAGAGAATTTAACCCCAAAAAAGGGTCTGAGCCAGTAAAGAGAGCATCACTGCCAACTCGAGGGACAACTCAGAGGGACTCACTCTTTGTCAAAGATTCAGATGTTTATTTTCTCCGTTCTCATGAAATCATACCACCTCATTATGCTCATAATGCATTTATCTTGGCAGCCAACCCCGTGAACGCGTACTGATTACATCAGCCATCAGCTCTGATGCTCTGTGCTGCAAGCCCCAAGTCAGTCCAGGTCAGTCCAGTTCAAATTATCTGCCCTGCTCCAGTAATTATCTTCCTTGGATCTGATTATTGTTCTGAGTTGTCACCTATTAGCAATGTGGGCATTGCTTTAAATCAGAAGTTCTCAGATTCCTGCAGGAGTTCTCATCTGGGGGCGGCGTACTCCCTCTCCCCAGGGGCATTTGGAAACGGCTGGGGGCATTTTGGATTGTCCCAGTCAGATTTTAGGAGAGAGGGATCAGGGACGCTCACCATCCTGAAATGCAGGGGACAGACTCATCCAAGGAAGGACCATCTCACCCTAAATGTCCCAGGTGAGTAGAAGCTGAGATGTACTGCCCAGTACCTACCTTTCAGACCTGGGTTGGGTCTTCCTAGGATCCACTTCTGACCACCAGAAGCAAATCTTCCGAAACAGAACCAACTGGTAAGGTCACAGGTGAGCAACCTCAGAAGAGCCCCCGCAGTGACTGTGACACAACAGAAGCCACCTAGTCTGAAGCCAAACGACGTGTACTGACGCCTCTGACATTTGCCAGCGGTGTGACTTCGGCAGGATGCCTTAACCCCTGGCAGCCTTGGTTTCTAGGTCAGGAAAAGGAAGGTATTGAAACCTACCTGGCACGGCTGTGAGCACAGAGCAGGTGCCGAGTGTGCGAGCACATGATACCCGTTACTGACACCTCTGCTGTCTGAGACACTGACTTAGAAAAAAGAGGCTTCTGGTCCCCGAAGATCAAGGGTCTCCCATTCTTTCATCAGTTTACGGGAAACAATTTGTCTCTCCGCTCAGGGCTGCACGTTACCAGGTGTCACCGTTCACATCTCATGCAAGAATTCACCAAGAAGCTTCTGATCAAATCCTAATATTTTAAACCATTCAGAGATCTGTTACTTCTCTTGGTCTTACTTGTGTGGAATTCCAAGTTATTGGTTTCATTACCTTGGCAAAGTAACTTACTCATTTTATTTAAAATTAAAAAATCATGTATCTTTTGTGTAGAAACTAGAGAGAAGCAAAAATAAGAACATTTAAGGAACTTAAGTGTTCCACTTCAGAGAGAGAACCATGATTCATGTCCAGGTGAATTTCCTTCCTGTGTTATTACTGATCTATTAAATTAAAAAAAAAACCCTAACATCATTTGATGCTTTTTTTCTTTTTTCACTTGCAAGACTGTATCTTTCTAGTTTGGCTGAATTTGCCACTGCTCTGTGTTTGGCCACCTGGCGGGCTGGGGAGGGGGGCCTCCATGTGGAGTGAGGTGGTGGACGGGTCAGGGGGCGGGGCGGGCCAGTGTTTCCAGGGGAAAGTGCTCTTTGTGTCGCGGTGACCTGGAGACCTGACTCATATCCGCCCGCAGCCCAGGGAGGGGGCTGTTCTGCATGGGAGGCCAAAAGGCCAGGGAGCCAAAGGACACGGTTCCGTCTGCTTGGAAACGGCGCCCAGGGCCCTCGTGGATGAACCTGGGGCCCCAGCTTTGCTTCCTGGCACCGGCTTCAGTAGGGCTGGGACACTCAGAGGCTGCAAAAACGTATCAGGGGTCTTTGTTCATGTTGTGGCAAAGCACACTCAGCCAGACACAAGGCAGAAAAATCACTCCCAGAAGTCAGAAACTGCTGTTAAATATTGGATTTTTGTGCTTTAGGTTAGTTCTTCATTGAAAGCAACCCTGTCAAGAAGCGATGAACATTATCAACAGCGAAGAGTCGCCATTTGTTTGAAACAGAAGTGTGATCAGCCTGTCTGGCAGCTTCCTTTTCTCCCTGTAACAACCCCACCTGAGCATGTTCCCCGAGCACTGGATGAGCTGCGTCATTTCAAGTGAATGCCTGGTAGTCTCTTACTGTATTGTAATAAGGGAAAAGAATTTCCTGTCGTTGAGCATTTAGCTCATTTCCAACTTTAGGCGTTTTTGGGTATGTATATATATATATATATATATATATATATATATATATATAGTCAGTTTACAATGTTGTGTCAGTTTCTGGCATACAGCACAGTGCTTCAGTCATACATGAACATACATATATTCATTTTCATATTCTTTTTCACCAGGAGTTACTACAAGATATTGAACATAGCTCCCTGTGCTGTACAGTATGAACTTATTGAGGCATGTTTTCCGTATTAAAAGTAAAGTTAAGCAAATAATTGTGTAACCTGCAAACAAGATCACGATGAATGAACGCCCTGGTTATTCATGTGTGAGACACAGCCCGCGCTAGACCCTCAGGAGGCGGACAGGCCCCCGGGCTCTGCTTTGGGAGGCTGTGTTTAGTCTAACCCTATTTTCCATGCTGTAGGAAACTGAGCGAGTCAGTGAAGCTAAGCCACCTGTCCCAACTGTCACCACGAGGAGGGGAAAAAGGCCTCGGTTCTTTGTCTTACCGGAGAGAAGGAATTCAAATGGGAGACTGAAAGCATGATGTAAACAGAAAATTTGACTAATAGAGCAAAAGTTAGTAGAGTCCATCTTTGAGAACTGAAGGCAGGCCAGCCCGAGAGAGGAA